TGATTTTGATGGATTACTTAAAAAGGGTACACTTTCTGATGTTCATGATACTATTGAAGAACTCTTTGAACAAGGAGAGTCTCACTAACAAGATTTGAGTGAGGATTGATCAATCATAAGTGCATAATTCACTCGCATGTTGGCGATCGAATCCAAAACTAAAATGCTCATACTTGATAGGAAAATTCATCTATTTAGCTCATAAAATTATCTGCACACATAGAATTGTACAAATTACAAAATTTATAAGGATTTTATGGTTCACCTAAGGTCATGAAATTATCTACTTTCATATATACGTTCATTTTTTACCTAATGAGCATAGGTAGCCCTTTCTATACAATAACCTCCTTAGGGTCTCGAGCAAGAATGTATAGCAGGTATTTACATGCAACGGGTGTGTATAACCTTCGCAACATCCTCTCATATGCTAGTTATGTGACCACTTATTGTGAGATAAATGGTGTATATACACTCGTTACATGTAAGTTTTTCTCCTTCATTATTTTCTTTGAAACTCTGAGAAATTGATTCAATAGGAAAAGTTGTCATTAAGAGAAGCCTTTATGTTAACCAAACCACCATTATGATTGGGCGTTGTAATGTGAAAAGTAAAGGATTAAAGTGTCAAGTATGTTATCTTCAAAGGTAAGATCTCACTGAAATATCATTCCACAGCTCCCTTAGCCGAAAGGACAGAAGAGAATATTCAACCAATGCTCAAATCCCCAATGGGCCAAGCCCAAGAAAAGGCTTGAATAGGCCGAAACACCAGACCCATAATGGAATGACTTGGTTGCAGAAATTTGCATTTGGTGCCAAAATTGCCAAACCTTTCTTTACAAATTAGACCAGAATTAAAGGAGGACAAACCAATTTTAATTAGGATACTTCTTGGCTCCTTATCTGTAAGGAGATACTTATCCTTTTTGCGAATCACAGTTTGACACATATGCAAAAATAATTCATCAAAAACACAAAAACAAAAACTTATGCACACACGTCACACTGCTATTAACAGGAATATAGAAGCTCCTACTTACCTAGTAAGGAGGGGAATATTTTCCTTATAGTTAAGTGGCAAGACCTTTAACATGGTAATCATGTTGACCAACCAAATGCAGTCAAACTATACAACAAGGTTAACAAGAATAAACAACCAAGGCTAGGAGCCTAGGAGAGGAACGGGAGCCTACTGAAAGATAGCCAACTGGTTTTTTCGCATAGCCATGTGCCTGCTTAAGGTTAATGTGGGTGGTTCAAGAACAGCATATTAGTTTATGCTGTACTTAATTAAATAATCTTACTTGTTCTCTCTCTCTCTCTCTCTCTCTCTCTCTCTCTCTCTCTCTCTCTCTCTCGTGAAATCATGTTACTTGGGCTACCAAGAATTCGTTAAGTCAATGAAAGTTTAATTACCTTAATTAAGCTTCTTAATTAGTCAGATGATCAATTTACATTGCTGATCTGTTTCTTCTTCCCTTTTCTCTTTAAGTTACTCAGCAATCTGTTGTAAAGAGCTGGCAATTTGAAACCTGTTCTTTTGACTGCAAATCTGCAATGCACAAGCTTGGAGCATGCTTGGTTTTGTTTATCAAATTTGGTCAAACAATTGGGGGTTCAAATTCAAACCCAAAAAAAAGGGAAGAATTTTGTGATTTTTTAAAAATTGTTCCATGAAATGAATTGATCCTTTGCCAGATGTACATGTCAAAATCACACACAGGTACCCAAACAGACCACAACCTCATGCCATGAACAAAACCATCTGTTGGGCCATGTGAAGAGGAAGGTCACGTAGAATGGAGAGGTTCATGGGAAGAGAGACCTTTTCTTTCATGATGCATCATGCTCTTTTTGAAAAAGAAAAAGCCTAATCAGTCATTGTTTCTGCCCATTACCATTTATAAAGCTTTCCATCCATTTTATTTGGCATATTTTGTTCATGTTTCAAAAACTCATTTCGTGCTCATGTGGGCTTCTTTTAACATCTCAAAAGAATGTGGTCTCGCAATGCCAACTTCTTTTTTTCTTTTTCGAAACCCTTTTCGTCTCAAAAGAAACCCCTTTTCCTTTTCTGTCTGATCGATTAATTCCTGCTCGGCTTTTATCATTACCTTTATACTAATTATGCTTCCACCTATTTACTTTAAGATTAATTGAAGTTAAATACAATGAATACATGAATAAAAGCAGAGTTATCGATGGATTCATACTCAGTGAAGAAGATATGGCAACTATGAGAATGATCTTCTTTCTGCAACACCAGAATGTTCTTGCTATGAATAGGTTAAACACACTATACAACTCGTGTATTGTGAGAGGAGGGACCGATTCTTTTATATTGAGCAAACCTTAACACTAACTCTCCTATTATGGATAGAGTAAGAGTTTAAACCAAACTAATATACTTAAGTGATTGAGTCCTAGTCAATATAAACATAAGTAACACGAGATTAGGCCAACTCACATAAGTCATCTCACAGTTACTTGGCAATTCTAAATTACCATATGCAGAATGCAAGGTTCTGATTCTTGATGAGTCTTGACCAAAGCATGTTATTACAATCGTGCCACTCATTGCCATTCAATGTTATCACTCCACTTATGTTATAACATACGTTTTTGTAAAAGTCCAACACATTGCCTCCTATAGGCCATTTTACCTAACTTCCCATTAATAAACCAAAACATGTGAAATTGCTTGTCGCTCTACCCAAGTTGAACTTCCCTCCCATCTTAATTAATTTCTACGTGCGCAACTAATTAAGTGTGAAATTATAATGGTCATAATAAATTCACACCAAATAAATGGTCTTAATTAATTTCTACATGCTCAACTAATTAAGCGAGAGAGAGAGAGAGAGGCAAAGTCATAAAAAGGTAGCTATGAGGGGACAAGAAACATATATCATATATCTGGTTAAGAAATAACATGGGTGGGAAAGATCTTGGAGACAACTGGGAAGCAAAGCCATTCTGGAAAAAGAAAAAAAAAACAATTGGATATATTATCCAAAATATAATTAAACAGAAACAGATGCAGGCATGCACGTCACGTACGCCATGTGCTTGGGTTTCATCATCCACATGCAAACCCCCCCCAGCCTCCTCCACATTCTCTGCTCATTCAATTCAATCTGCTCATCATTCATATATATATATATATATATAAAGGAAATTAATTAAAATTAAAAAAAATTGAAACAATCATGCATATGTGGACATAGTTGTGTACTTTTGCGTACCCTTGTTCTAGTCTTCTTCTACGTACGTATATGATGTTTTGGCTTTTCTAGAGCATTATTATTATGTGTACGTGTACCCCCCATCTTCTTAGCTTTGTATGGCCTTTCACTTGGCATTGTCTTTCCATGAAGTGAAAGCCCCCCATTCTATTTTAATTTGCCTTCAGTTTTTATGTATATCTATCTGTGCATTGTCTAAAGTAATCTTGTTCTCATTCTCTTCATTCCATTCGGGTGACTGCTTCTCAATTATCATTACATACCAACTAGTTCTTAGCTTAACGATAATTCTCTTTCTATACTAAAGAAAGTAGTCTCGAATATTTGAATATTCATTTCCCTTTTGATTCATAAAAATCATCTGATATATAGAAAATGTCAAATATATCTATATATTTCATTAAATTTCCTAGTTTTAAGACATTCAATCTACTCACTCTCTCAACATAACGCGATTAAATTACAAGCATCACATGTGTGATTCATCTAATTTAATCTCAGTGATTACCTCCCTTCTAATCACAATATTTCACAACCTAGAATGAACATAACAAATTGATGAATATGAAGACTACTAATAAGACAGTGGAGCCCATGGAAGGGCAAATGTCTAGGATCGGGGGGACAGTTAAATCAGTCCCCAAGTGTACCTAATTCTCTGTTTAATGATCCCCCTCACATGACCCTCCCTGCACCATTTTTGCAAGCTTATGCACCATGCAGCAAGCAGCCAATGCCAAAATTCCCCTTCAAATTGTTTTATTTACTTTTTCTCTCCTCTTGCTGCTTGCATTGGTTTTCAAAGTTTTTAAAACGCACTTTTATGTAAAATGGTACGCACTTTTCTAAATTAAATTCCACCATTTCATAATTTCACTGAATCCCATGCTCTTCTTCTAGCTAGCTCCTCCTGCCTGCCTGCCTGCCTTATTATTCTCTTAAAATGCCCTGAATTTGGGCCCTCGATACTCACAAAAAGGTGCCCACTGATCAATCACAATTCTAGTTGCTACTCTTTTTGGATGTTGCTCTTTTTGTGCTCCAAAAATTTCTCGAGTTTGAGCCAAAGATTATTATTTCATGCAGTTCTCCATTGGCCTTATGATATATATATTTCTTCTTTTATGGATGTCCAGATGTTATTATCGTGTAGACATTATTATAAACATAAAAGAAAGCAAAAAAGGATAATAAAAAAATACATGACAGTATGCACAATACCTAATAGTGTGGGATGCTTGAAAACTTGGACAAAATTGTGCAAATTTTGGTAGCTGAAAGTGATTGACTTTCAATCAATGAAAAACTAAGGAGGAAGAATTGACTGATTAAAAAAAACTTGGAATTTGGAGTTGCGAGCCAATGAGCTAGCTCCTCCTCATGTGCATGAGTGCTTTATGTCAACCATTTGCAGAAAGGCACTTCATCAGCACTATAGATGCTTCTTATGGCCCCATTTCATCAAAGTCGCAAAGCCATTTGTTTGTTTGTTTGTTTTTTTTTTTTACCATACCATTTATTTGATGTTAATTTATCTTCAAATTCCGAAGGAAAAAAACATAATTAATATCCGTATCAATATTGTGGTAATATAATGTGATCGTTTGACAACATAACATACTATTACTAGATAATCTAATAATAAAATATTTTCTTGACACTGCACCGAAGCAAATGGCATTTCCTCTTTTTAACTTGTCCTTAACAAATAAACAAAATTTGTTGATTTTATTAATTTAACAAAAAAAGAAATTGAAAACAAAATGTAGGTAAAATTGATATTCTAAATTTGCCAAATTCGGCAAAAATAGAAAAGAAAAGTACAATACAAAGCCAAGCCCAACTTTCTCCCTTCCCCCCTTTTTTTGTTTTTTCAATTCTACAACTCTCTTTTTTTGCTCAATGACCATTACAAATTCAAATTTTAAGACGAAAAAATTAGCAAATTAAGCTAGAGAATTCTTGTTAAATTTAGAGAGGTGCACCCTAACTTATCCTACTCTAGCATCACTACATCATCCGCCGGAAATCGTTAACGTTATGGTGATGGATCAAGTACTCATCATGACCCCCGTTAGATACACCAAAAATGGAACTTTGACTAAGAAACTGATGCTGATGTGATCTATGGACCTCCTTTTGTCTCCGGAGCTCCAAAACCTTCCTATGCGAATTGGAATGCCTAGCCGACACAAAAGTGGGGCTCGCGGCGGGTCTGTACTCGGGCACAAGCCGGCCCGACTTATAGCGAACTCCACACGCGTTACAAAGCGTTTTTGGGCCCATGGGGCCAGTCCGCCATTGTGGGGTCTTTTCTGCCGCGCAATGGAGGCATTTCCGCCCCGAAGAGTCGGAACCCGAGTTCGAATTGCCACCAATACCATCTTTCTTCTTACACGTTGTCGTCTTGGGAGGCTTGATGGTGTCATTCGGAGTGATGAGGTGGAGGAGGCGCGTGGACCAGTCTCCGGGGGCAGCGCGTGAGCGCTTGCTTCGGGCTTTTCCTGGGAGTGGTGTTTCGGGGTGGAAAAGCGGTGCGTTTTGATTCGTTTCGGAGGATGAGGACGTTTCGGGGGTTTGAGGTTTGGTTGTGGACATGGACAGGAATTGGAGAGCTTGCAAGTCCTTCTCTGCTGAGAAGGAGTCTTCCACAAAGTTCGATAGCCATTCTAGCTCCGCCAAGTCATCGTACTGTAATCAAATTTAAATAACAAAAAATTAATCAAATTTGCACTGAATTTTGCAAATTAAGAAAAGTTTATTTCATAATTAAACATAAATTTAATGTCCTAATAGTCATGCATATTGCATGCAAAAGTTAAAAAGTAAAGCTATTTCCATCCTCTTTTTTCCTCCACTCCCTTTGAATAATTTGTCCAATTACAAATTTATCCTTGTACAAAATTGCTAATTATTTTGCCAATAAAATTTTCTCTGACATTTAATTATAAAATTGACCTGTGGCTCATGCAAATTGCATGCAATGGCCAAAAATGAAGAGTTAATTAAATCCGAATGTACGTTAAGAATAGTGTTTAGGTGAAAAATAATGTAATTAGAGTTTTACCGGAACGCAAAGGTCGCCGGAGAACTGAGAGTCGCCGAAGCTCCGGTTGCCGGAGAACTGAGGCTCTCCCCCGGAAACTGAGGAATTGCAACTGTCGACGGCGGTGACGGCGGAGGAATCGGCAGCTGCGTCTAAGAACCCGCCGTCGGTGACTAGAGCGTCTTCGTTGGAGAAGTCGAGGAGGTCATCGATGGTAAATTGGTCGCCGGCGGCGGCGGGCTTCTTCTCCGGCAGAAAGTCCGCGGCTCCGGCGTCGAAGTAGCCGCCGATGTAGAACTCCGGCAGTTCCATTAAGTGCAGAAATCGCAGTGGTTAGAGAGAGAGAGAGAGAGAGAGAGAGGTGAAGAAGAGAGTTTGTTTGATTTGTGTGGGTGAGAGAGAGAGAGAGAGTGAGAGAGAGAATGGAGGGGGATGGGGGGTTTTGAGGAGTGAGGGGAGGGGCAGGAGCGTAAATAAGATGAAATTGGAGCATCATTTTACATGCAGAGAGGTTCGTATTAAATAATGAGGGGAAGGTGCTGGCCTTTTTTAACCGAACCCTTATGAAACCCGTCACATGATCGCTGACACCACCTCCACCTTTGTCACGTGCTTTTTGGACCCACTCCCAAAACCCAACCTCCCCTCTTAATAAAGCAAGGCAAAGCTGAAAAAAAATAAAAAAATTAGAGGAATTTACTTTGGATTTCGGAAAAAGAAAAAAGAATGTAAAATATTAATATGGTTGACAAAAGCTTTTACGGGTAATAAATGTTAACTGTAAACAAACGGACCTTATCCAATTTACCAGCGTCAATTGGTCATGGGGATTAGCGTCGACTGACTCGGGGCCATCTGACTCAGTCTTGCAAACCTTCCATTTTTCATGTAGGAAAAATGTTAGTGATTATATCAATTTTTATACACTAGATATTGGCAAACAAACTTGGTTGAAAAACTGTATAGTGTTTTATTTGTATTTTCATATACAAAGAATCCCTCGAATAAATTTATTTAATTTATATCTTTATAGGAAGAGTGATTCGACCGTCTAATTTTCAAGTTTGAATTGATAGATCATTTTTGCAAAAAACCACAAAAATTAGAAAATATTGTATCGTTTGATTAGAATGTAGTCGTTTGAGTATTTCTTGAAAACTATTGTTCTTCTGTTTATTTCATCACAACTAGATGTCTTAATAGTTTAAGATATTTTTTTGTTTTGTTCAAGAATAATTTATGAATTATTTTTTTTATCAAAGAATACTCTATGAATGAAAACTTGAAAAATCAACAATTCGAATCGTTAAATTATAACATTAAAATAAGCTTGTTATAATGTAATAATAAAATTGAACATTTGGGCATAAAACTTGGCAAAGTAAGGTTTTCCTAACATTTGAATCCTCAAATCTAGGAATGTAGTAGCACCTAAGCCATATCAATCTCCTAGAAGAGTGAATTTTGGACATTGTTTATAAACTATATTGCTTCAACTAACAGCCTTACTCTTGGCTCTAACTAACACTTGTACAATTTTATGCTAAGTAACGTTATCTCATAACAAACCCTTTTTATATGAAAGGAAGACAGAATGAGAGGCTACAATCCATCAAATTTTGCGTATAATTATTTTGAAGTTTTTTTTTTTTTGAAATTTAGATTAAGGGGTTCGAATTTGAGACCACTAATCTGCAGGCAAATGCTCATACCACTGAGTTATAGACTCGTTGGCTAGATCGTGGGTTATTAACTAGTAAATAATTGAACTATTTTCTAATTCATTTTGTACATTTGTTGGTCGATTTTATAACATAATAAAAGCTATAGCTCTTTCTTTTGTGTGTTGGTGGATGAATTGATGGATCTATTTAATTTAAGCCCAAGTAATTTGGTTTTCATTTATTTTCGAAGGAGGGTTTTAGCCAACAATTAGCACCAAATGGTGAAAAGAAAAATCCAAAATGGAAATCCTCAAAAGATCATATATGGCAGGCAGGTAAGATTAAATCATCAAAAGTGAAAACCCTCCTAAGTGGCCACGTGGATGAGATCAAGACCGTTATTTGATTAAGTGTCGAGCTGTAAGCATCGTGCTTAAACGTGGGTGGGGAATATAAATAATGGGTTATGATGGGGCAATAGCAGCAAATAGGGGTAGAAAGTACAATTGATTAAAGTTATAATATTGCATAAATCAGAGGGGGAAAACTTAAATTAAAGTAAAAGCACAATTCCCAAGAGCAAAAAATTATTAGGAGCAAAGGAAGTCCGGCTGTAAACTTGGACACTATTGGAATGGAGAGCCTTGGGAGGAATCACAGCGACAAAACCTGGCAGAGATCGATTCTGCAGGGGGTTGAAAATTCATCATTAATTTGTTTTCATGTTTCTTTTTTCTCTTCATAATTTATGCTAATTACTTACAATTCAACAAATTTGACATGAATTTATGCAAAAAAAGGTAGAGAATACAGTTCAATTGAGCGTATGAAACAAGTATGTTGGCTTCGTTTGTCAACCATTTGAACCAGGCATCGAGTAATTTGATTATAAAAAAATTATATAATTTTATTTTAAATCCAATGGCATTTGTTAGGCATAAAATGAAATTAGGTTGCATGTAATTGGGGGGGCTGGTAAAGTCCACGTGGCTGGAATCTATTCATGACGAGCCGGGAGCCCACCTTCATGTGGTGCTTCCTTCACACGTGCAATATGCTTAGCATGTCTAACACTAACATGGTAGCACGTGTGTGGTGGTCTCGTGCCCGTCTCCTTAGTGCATGGGCTTTGAACTTGATTAATTAAGGGGAGGGAGCTTAATAGAGCGAGTGAGTGTATTGAGCTTTAAGTTGGTTTTTGGAAAACAGCTTTATGTTGCTTGGTTGCTTCAAATCTAAAACCCAAAAAGGGCAACCAGAAAAAAGCCTTCTTGGGTTTTAAGCAAGCTTTTCCAGCTCAGATGTATAAACTTGAAACTCTATTATGGAAATATACAATATTATTGGTATGAGCTAGGGTTAAACCCGAGATTGACGATAAGATTTCAACAAGTAGCGTTAAACATTATATATGTAGCGCAAGAGGCTTGTAGCTCAAAACGATTAAGAGCATTTACTTCTCCATCCCGAAGTCTTATAATTCTCTCTTCCTCAATATCTTTTGTATAAAAATAAAAATAAAATGTAGCATGACATGCATAAACCACACCCATAGGGATACTTACATAAGACTTGCATAATGCTCGTTGTCTTTGAAGATACACAAAAAATTTTGAGCCCAAATGAAAAAAGTGAGTAAGGAATTAATAGAGCTACAAAGTACGGCCCAGACCACTAACAGTTTGAAAGGGCAATGCCTTCATGAAAGAACAGTTGGGTTTTTGTGTGTAATGTTTCTAAAGCAAATTATAATTGCTCAACTTCCCATCAGTTGGATTTTTTTGGTTTCAGCCTTTAAGACTCAAATTGCTTAACATGCAGTGTCCAATTCAGACCATGTTTGATGCATTTCAATCACTATTTAAGCTGTTCCAAGATTATGACAGAATAGTGTTATCCAATTTCAAAATTAAAACATAATGAGAAAAGAATTATCACCAAGCATAAGAGCCTCACACGATAATAGGTAATCTTTCAAAATTAAAACATGAATAGCAGCGCCAGCTGTGCTTAATTGCCATTAGGAAGTTCAAACACAATATAACTAGTTCAGAGAAAGCAGTCACCAATATAACTATTTCCGGCAACATTTCGGTAATCAAGCGGAACTGAACATCGAGGGCCAACTTCGGGTGGTTGCCCATGACAAAGTATAATTAGAGTTAAGGTGTTTCAACAAGCAAAAGTGTCTTGATGTTGAAACATTGAGGAGAAAACATGTGATGTTTGGTGTCAAGAGAAAAGGTGTTCAAACTAGGGTTGATTATGAAGTTGAACAAACGTCACAACAAACAACCTTGCAATAACTTTGAAGAACGAAACATAAAGCTTTTGATTCTCAACACATGGTTACAAAACAATACACAAAGAAAAGAAGGTGCTGCAGCCTAGAACTTATCCTCCTCCTACCCTTAACACATGGTGATGAATGACCATGGTATCCCTTCACCAATTTTGCACTCAAAGAATGGCCCCTCACATGTTTTGATAAGTAAACCAATTCTACAATACTCAAGTCATGCCATCAATTTCGACCAAAAAAAAAAAGTCATGCCATCAACATGAACAACAAACTCCCAAGGATATTAATAGAAAGTACAATATAGCATGCTGGCAGAAAATGAAGTCGTCAATGTGGCACCACACACGCCATTTTACAAATGTAGCATACAAACAAGCAAAATGTTAGAGTGGCAATGTGCAATATGCTGCTGCAACAAAATTGATAGAGAATGGAAGAAATAAGATCATGCAAATCAAACCTTGTCCAAATGTCAACAAAACCAAAACATTTATAATGATCATGCTGCATATTCATAAAGCTGCATCTCCAGCAACACAGTAGTGTTCATCAGCATCACCAATCAAGAATGATCAACTTTATGATAGTTAGATCAAAGTCTTAGTATATGTTCATAAAGGAGGTTCAGATATAATCCGCTATAACAGAAGCAAACTTTTGAAAATATTCTACGGCTCAACTGTTGTCACTTGTTGCCACTCCCCGTCTACTGCTTCCTTCCATAATGTTACATTGTTGTTCCCATCAGCCACGGCTATTATGTTTCCAGTCAGAGACCATGAGACCTTATAAACAGGTGAATTGAAATCATGCAGCACCTTACCGTCCCATTGATCCCCATCCTTGGCCACAGTCCATATAATAACTTTCCCATCCTGTGAGGCACTGGCAATTGTAGATTTTGGCAGTCCCAAGTTGGGTGCCCAAGCAACATCCCTAACCCAATCAACATGCATTTGAAGAGCCGGAAAGCAGTCCAGCTTCCAAACCCCATTACCAAGCTTCCACACCTTTACAGTATTATCACAACCACCAGAACAAAGCTTCTGAACAGGGTTAAGCAAACCAGAACCAACAAGAGCACCAGGGGCTGTTGAGGGAGCCCATGAAACAGAGGTAACACCAACTGGGTGAGCTTGGTCAATCCTCGAGGTATCCCAACCACCATCCGCCCTTGCAGTGAAAACCGAAATGTTCCCATCAGAAGAACCGCACGCCAAACAAAGACCGAGTTCATGAGGAGCCCAAGCAATCGAGTTGACAGACGACTTGTGGTCATCAAAAACATGGGCCTGGATCCACTCATTCTGATTACCTTCCTTCCACAGTATAACACGCCCATCATAAGAACAGGAAGCAAGTAAAGACCCGAACTTGGGGTGAGCCCAAGCAACCTGCCAAACAGGTCCCTGGTGACCAGTAAGGGTTGCGAGATGTTG